AGTGGTTAACCACGAGACGCTCACGCCCACATGACGCTTCTCGTTTATTTTTATTTTTGACTCTGTCTGTTGAGCCAAGGGGGTGATCTGTTGTAACTGGGCCACAATTCAGTTTTTCTTCTCTGATGTTGACTGTTAGTCTCTGACATTTCCAAAGGGTGGGTTCTGTAGAAATATTTAAATGTGGTTAAAAAAGAACAACTTTCCAGTAGTTTATACTGAGTGTCGTCATGACTACTTACAAACATTGCAGTCAACCGGTGACTGTTTGTGAGTGACCCATTACTTCCTGTTGAAGCCAGAGTTTTAAATTTATCCATAACCTCAAATTGCGGGGCAGACAGGAGAGGTTAGACAAACACACGCAGCTTTTCTTGCCTTGGGATTTTGTTGGAAGTGAAGACCAACAGATTTAGCAGACTGTATTTATAGAAACCTTTTTATCAAACAAAAAAATCTAAATGTATGGTTTAAGATAACACAGGCTAATGTAACATCTGTTGGAGATTTTTGTTTCTTTTATTTGTTGCTCTGTAAAGACTGTTTTATAATAAGCCTATTTCTTAACACCATCAAAATTACATAACAATTTATTTTCTGTCTGTCTCTCAGGGTGATTGCCGGTCCTACAGTTACGTGTGCGGTGTCACTAGTAAAGAATCTCCGCACTGGGAGTCGCTCATGTTCCTGGCCAGACTCATCCCTCGCATGTGCCACACCATCAACAGGTGATACACAAGTCTTTGCTTACAGCTTTGCTCTCGTCTATCCTCAGTGATGCCAGTGAGTAGGAGAACATCTCACCCACTCATTCATGTGTCTCCTTTTTCCAGAGTTGTGTATGTTTTTGGCTCCCACGTGAAAGAGCCGCCAACAGACATTACTCCAACCTTCCTGACCACAGGCGTTCTGAGCACGCTCAGACAGGCTGACTTCGTAGCTCACTCTATCCTCAGAGAGTCTGGTAAGTCATTTTAGTTTAGCCCTATGTATTGACGCATTACAAATTATTTGGGGAGGATTTATATTTGGTGAGGATGCAACCACAGGACTATCAGTACAGTACAGTTTCTGTAGAGCCGTTCAGTCCTTTCACAAAGTCCACATACCTAACAAGAATAGTGTACTCGTCTGCATACTTGCATCCACACGGGGAATTTAACGCTCCCCCAGGGTCAAACTAAATATATGTTTGAGAAATTTTGCTAAATGTCTGTACTTTCCTGACTGTTGCTGTGGTTTCACTTTGCATGTCATTGTGCTGATTTAAGATGGGATTAAAAGGGTGAGTTTAAAGATCATTTTGTCCCTATAGTTAAACGTAGGCCATTTGGCTTCATTAAGACATTTTCAAGGTCAGCCATGTGAGCAAACTATTTTTTTTTCATTGTTGACATCTATAATTGAATCAATCCGGGCATCATTAGAAGAACAAAATTTATTTATTGAAACAAAGAATTTGAAGTGTCGACTTTTTCATGTTCAAACTACAATAAATTGTTAAAGAATCTAGTGTTTGCTTAAACTCTTCTGTTGGTGTACACAGTGAAGGTGGTATTTCATAGACCAGCAGACAGGTGCTCTGGGACAAACTTGACAAATATTTCTAAATACAGAGAAGGGAAGAACTTTTCCAACTTTTTTAGTGATTGACATAATCCAGCAAACAGACGGGACTAGGGATGCAGCGATTACCGGATTTCATTATTAACCGCGGTTTGAAACCTCACATTTAATTAATCGTAAAGGCTTCGCTACACCGAGTGTTTCTGTTGCACAGAACGAAACTGTTATAACTTGCACAAAACGAAAACAAAGTTACAGGAGCGGTGCACCAGCTTAAGTGTTGTGCTTATCAGATGCTACTGTACACTGGTTAAACTATGGCAGAGGGACCAAACTGTGAAGCTTTAGTTCCACCAAAGAAACGGCTGAAGTCTTACCTGTTAAAAAAACTTGCCGTTAAAAGGTTCCTGCTAAAGGAGCAAATAACTACATTAAACTTTGCCCAAGTAAAGGTAGGCCTAATACATTATATTTAATAACGTAAGAAGTTGGTATGGAATTAAATATAAACGTGTCACTTACAATCGATGCCGTAGCGGTGAGAGTCGAGCTTTCAGTGCATTTATGGAAGACAGAACGTAGTCCTCTCAAGAACCTTCAGTCACTGAACATTTAACGTTACATCATGTTGTCTTCTCCTGTTTATGTTGAGAAAATGTTGCCAGGTGTCAAACACTAACATACATCAGGAGCTTATAGACTTTCAGGACTCATTTTCACTGAAACAAAATATGTATGGATGAGAGTTTGACGACAGTAAGAGTTCAATTTATTCCCCTCCTTTATAACTAATAATTTCCCCTGAAGGATAAAAGTTAATATTCCTCTTATATTAATAATACTTACTTAGAACTTTAGAAATAGAATTGTTAATTGTTAGTCTTAGTCAATGAAGCTAATTGAAATGTTTGTAATAGCAGCAATAAAAGATTTTCTTTCTCTTTGGCTGTGCTCCTCTTTCAGGCTATTCCAGTAAGATCAGCCAGATGCCTGTCATCCTGACCCCCCTGCACTTTGACCGTGACCCACTGCAAAAGCAGCCATCCTGCCGGCGCTCTGTGGTGGTCCGCACCTTCATCACCAGCGATTTCATGACCGGCATCCCTGCCATGCCGGGCAACCATATCCCAGAGGAGGTATACCATGATTCAACCACTCAACTTTTCTCAGTGTTTTTGCTAGACTTGTTATATTGTCTTCCCATCATGGATACTACCCCTAGATTCAGGGATTGGGTATTATTTATCTTATTAAGACTACCTTACCTTTACCTTAACACTTATTTAAATGAGTCTTTTCTTGTATGTTTTCCCAGGTGGTGCTAAAGATGGTAAATGAGATCAAGAAGATCCCGGGCATCTCCAGAGTCATGTATGATCTGACCTCCAAACCGCCTGGCACCACAGAGTGGGAATAAGGCGCAACATGAAGTCATACCGACAAGACATGCACTCACACACAATACACAAACACGCTCACCACCACCACCACCACCCCCCCCCCCCCCCCCCACACACACACACACTCCTCCCCCTCCTCCCTACTTTACCTCCACCCCTCTCTTAAACATTCCCATGGAAGGCAGACCGTACTGTGATGGGCGCACATGCAAAGGCGCTACTACTCTGCTCTCCCCACCACTCCTCCCTGGTCTTAATATTTTTTTGGCAATAGGGATTGATTAATGTTGTTTATTGATAATATATTGTCCTTTTTTATCCATGTACAACAGTGTATTTCCTCTCTATGAAGAAAAGGTAAATTGCTGCTTCCCTTTTGTGAGGTCAACCATTAAAGACAAGTGGCGAGAAGCTGTGAAAGTTCAGAAAGTGGACTTTGCTGTTGTGCCTCAGGTTGCGTTATGAGTTGAGCTAAACATTGGAGAAAAAAAGCAAACACTAGTGTCACACAAAGAAATGACAGCAGTAGAAGAGTTTGAAAATCTTCAAGTGTTTTCTGCCTTTTTTTGTCAGATGTTTTTGTCTTACTGTTGTAGGTCAGAATGTTCTCAACCTAAGACTATCCTCTATTTGTTCATTTTCAACTTCTGCCTGTATACTGTGCTATGAAGAAGGTCGTCTGTCAAAAGTAAAACTGAACAGAGAACCTATGTGACCAATCAATCATTTTTAAGCTTTTTGTTTTGCCAAAAGTAGAATATGCTGTGGTAAATATAACATTGTGGGCTCCTCTGACGATCTTGTCCAAGCTACATTTGTTGAGAGCTCTTGACTTGTTGCAGTACCCATCTTGGATGGCAATCCACCCAAGATTAGCTTCTGGATGAAAGCTAGGTGCAGCTGTGCAGGAGGCCAATATATGCTGGGTAACTTTGTATGTGCCTGTTCTATTGTTTATTTTTTGGTGTGGCCCAACCTGGACTCTGATGTTTCCAGACAGGAGGATACAACACTGTTTTTCCTCATGCTACATTATGTATGCTTTTTATGAAGAATAAACATGGCAAGAGGACTAACTAAAAGCAACATAAGTACCGTAGAGTTTATAACCACATTGTGTAACTTGCTGTTGTCATTTCATCATTATTCGGTTGCTCTTTGTTGTGCAGGGGGTATATTTTTGCACATTTTGTCTTTTACTTCCACCTGTAAAGCCTCTGCATTATTTATCAGCTTAACAGAAACATACAGCCAGCGGGAACTTCACCGCAAGTGTGTCGCTCTGTACTGTCAAAGGTTGAGAGTACTGTCTGTTGCCATCTCTAACATGACTCTGACACTGCGTCTCAGAAAGGCTTCATTTTTTTTTCCTGTTCTGTACTATCGAAACATTGAGCACATCATAATCTCTGGTCTTCAGTTTTTTCATATAGACCTCAGTGAATACAGTGCTCAGGTTTAACTGAGTTTTAAAAGTGTATTGTACCCCGATAGACATTTCACCCCGATGTGGTGGTTTTCATGCCTCCACAATTTGTCTTTGTGCCTCTCATCCTCTGTTATATCTTTAAGCTTTAGTGGCAAAATACTTCTAATGCAAAATGAACTTGTCTTAACTGCTATTAGTGTTTCTCCCTGTGTTCTGCCTTTTACACGAGGGTCTTTTCTGTTACACTCTCCATAGAAAACAGCTTGATATATATATATAATAATTTGTAGTTGGATTTAATTGCAATATCGATAAGATTAAGTTATGCAATTTATTGTTGGATTTTTTTTTTTAAAAGGTTTATTCAACAACGCTCATTCTCCTTAGTAACGTGCCTCAAAACAAGCCACTGCATGCAGTTTCAACTATGATGACATTTGTACAATAGAAAACTGAGCTTTAATAAAGATCTCCATGTTAAAACTTCTCACTTCTATAATGAGGTACTTATCAAGTTGTTTGCATTTAGTTTGTTTTAACCTGGCAAATTTTGAAGATGAGGATTTTTGCAGCACCGTTTGACTTAAAATAAGCAAACTAAAACGCATAAATTAGCCTACACTAGAGGCAAACTGTCCCGTTGTCTTGCTAGACAAATTAAACACCAAATAAAGTGAAACCACACTGAAATGAAAAGGCCGCAAAACGCAGTGGACAATTATGAAATCAAGATCACTTTTAAAGTAAGTTTTAAAAAAAAAAAAAAAAAAAACAACTTTCTAGTTAATGGTTAATTAACCATTTTTAAATGACATAACTACTATATATGCTTTTACAGAACTTGATGGAAATGGTAAAATAGTTTAATACGTTCTCATTCCTTTTCCCAATTTCTTAGTGCTCTTGCTATTGAATTTTTTTTAACTTACTTCCATTGCAGCTTTATGTGGTTTGAAAATGTTCTTATACCGACTGTAGGCTACTATAAAAAATGATTACTTACAGTAAGTATCACAGCAGTTTTGTTAAGCACGGGAAGCGTAGTCTGTGTCACTACACTGAAAAGTCCTTAGTATTAATGTTGTGGTTTTTATTTAAAGTACGCAGACAAACAACTTGCTGGGGTGTTGAGGGGAATTCCCTTTTTTTCCTTTTAACCACGTGCCTCGTTGAAATGAGTACAGTAGTGTTTTGGTAAATTACTGTACATGGCCTAATAGATTTCTCGCAGAGCTCATCAGTATCAGATATCTCTCGTGGCTGAGACAGATCACAAGGGCACAGTCACACACTCGCGCATACACTGAAGCCTTTAATTTGTCATCAGCTACTATTCAAGAAATACATGAGAATATCCAACTCCTTTTTAAGATGCCTTCTGTGTGACAACTTCCCTTTAGTATAATTCCATGTAATAATAGCGACGTACAACTAACAACCAAATTGTTGAAAGAAGTTTAGACTGTAATTTGATTTTAATAAGAGCCTATAAGTGCGCAGTCGGCCCAACCAGCACTGGTCCCTTTGTGTGGCGGGAGGTTCAGGTGTGTGTTTCTCCCCGCTGACTGAGAGACAAGAGCAGACAAGTTCAGTCACCCATCAACACACCTCAGACCCACACTCAGGGGACAAGGCACGATTTGGGAACAGTAGCCATGCCGCAATGTTGCGTAAATACTATACAAGTCACCACACGCAGCTGCCAATTAACTCCTGGCCTGTGGCAGAATTATCCCTTGCAGCTGACCTGCGTGCAGACTAATAAACTGATGTATTTACAGGAGAAAAGAGAGCGCGAGAACAGAGGGAAACCAAATGAAATGATGGGATGTTTCTTCGAATTTATTTGACATAGAAGTGTTTGTTGGTGCATACTTTGTGCTCTTGGAGGGAGACAAAACCAGTGTAACCATGGTTTTGAACCACACTTACACCATTAATGAGAGAATTATGCTATGGTATTTACTAAAAATAAACAAAGTCCTTCTTGTCTATGTTTCACATGGCATAAAGATCAGTAGGCTATGCCCTCCTCTTCATTTTGCACAGTTGAATCTGTTCTCAGGTTGCCTCGTGCTGCACATCTCCCTTGAGGGTATATTAGACACCTGTCACACTTTGCTGTTGCCTTTCCTCGTCTGCCACAGCGAGAGCTCTCCCGTCTCCTTTCTGCGTCTACATAGCATGGAAATCGGTCGTTTTTTGCTTGTGCTATGTGCCTTCTTCTATTTTGACAGATCTGTTTCAGCAGAGTCCACATGCAAGCTGAAGGCCAAGTTCAACCTGAGCGGCTACAAGAATGTAGAGAAGAAGAAGGTCGTTGTTGGCGGGATGTTTCCTGTTCACAACCGTGTCGCTTCCACTGATGGCAATACTTCAAGGGTGCCCGTCTCTTCGGGTTGTGAGGGGTGAGTCGAGCAGCCTGTCTTTTTTTAAATCTGTCTCTTCCAGCTGTGTGACACTAATCACAGATCGTCTCACAAGCCTATTAAAGTTAAATGATTTCATATTTTAGCCCTTAAATGAGAAATACATTAACTTGAGTGAGTTAATTTTATGTTTCAACCGCACTGTGTACTTCTGAGATCTCATAACCTCATGATTTTAAATCAAGACAGAGCAGGGCAGCACCTCTGGGGCCAATTATCCACAGTGGCCTATATTATTGTGGAGATTGGTCTACAGTGGAGTATACAAGTCCATGAACTGTCCTCTTGAGGCTAATTTAGATGATAAAATAGTCTGTATATATCTTGTGAATGTGAATGCGAGTTTTTCTTTCGTTCTTTCAAATAATATCTACAACATCAAGGCAACACACACTTTTGTACTGTGTGTTGAGGCTGTAAAAGACAAAATATGTGCCTGTTTTCCAACCAGCAGAGAAAAAACATGCTGTTAATGTCACCACTCTCCCATCATGCTCCAGGTTTAACTTCCGTACCTTCCGCTGGACCCAGACCATGCTGTTTGCCATCAACGAAATTAACAATAGGAACGACCTGCTGCCCAACACCGACCTGGGATATGTCATCTATGACTCCTGTTTCACCATCTCCAAGGCTGTGGAGGGCACCCTCACCTACCTGACGGGCCAAGACGAGGCCGTACCCAACTACCGCTGCGGGACAGGGCCTCCGCTGGCTGCTCTAGTGGGTGCTGGGGGCTCCGATCTGTCCATTGCCACTGCGCGGATTCTTGGACTTTATCACTTCCCACAGGTAGGCCTGTTGTTAGTTACGTAAAAGTAAAGATGGAGAAGAAACCCTTGTGTGCCTCCTCTCCTCTGTCATCTTTAGGTCAGCTATTGTTCAACTTGCTCCGCCCTGGAAAGCAAGTTCCAGTTCCCCACCTTCCTGAGGACCATTCCCAATGACAAGCACCAGTCTACAGCTATGGCTCAGCTGGTGCTACACTTTGGCTGGACCTGGGTGGGCACCCTGGCTGCCAATGATGATTACGGCAAGTATGGCATCAAAAGCTTCAAGGAGCAGGTGGAGGAAGCTGGCGTCTGCATCTCATTCTCGGAGACGCTGCCCAAGGTGAACAGTTCATCCTTTCGGTCTGTATTTCTCTATCCCACCTCTTGTTCTGCATCACAGTTAATTTCTGTTGGAAAAATTAATATTGTGTTCAAACAACTTAAGGTGAGTTCCCCAAAGGACATCCAGCGTATCGTTCAAACTGTAGTTGAGTCCACGGCCAAGATCATTGTGGTCTTCTCATCAGACGTGGACCTCAGTCCTCTTATCTATGAGCTGCTCAGGCACAATGTGACCAACCGCACCTGGATCGCCAGCGAGGCCTGGGTCACCTCCAGTCTCATCAACCAGCCTGGGGTGAGTGCTCAGTCGGGCAATGACCGGCTCATTGATTGACTGAGGGATGTTTAAATGAAACAGTTACAGATGTTCCAGGGGCTTTAACCAGTCTCAATTTGTAAATCACATTTTGAGCTGAAGTTAATCATTTGCATGTTTTTCTCCAGGTGAGCTCACTTCTGGGTGGCACCTTGGGCTTTGGGGTAAAAAGAGCCACCATTCCTGGTCTTCAGCGCCATCTACTGGATCTGGACCCCTATGATGACCCACTCACTGAGGAATTCTGGGAGACGGTGTGTTTATTAAGCATACTAACTGGCCAGAGGAACTTGGGGCGACACATCTGTTAGCCAAAGTCTAATTTTTGACTCCGCTTGTAATCACACATCTTGGCTTGGACTGACAATTGCTGTGACAGTTAACCTGACAACTTGAGAGGATGAACCTTCAGTGGAAACATCAAGTCATTTAAATATCTAGAGAAAATGTGACCTTTTTCTGTGTTATAGGTGTTTAACTGCACATTGGACTATGGCAAAGCTTTGAGGCAGGCCAAACTGACGGCCAAGGAGGTTAACGGCACGCTCTCCAGGGCAGTCAAGGGGGTCCCTGATGGGCTGTGTAGAGGAACTGAGTCTCTGGCACAGCTCAATAACACCTACTCTGATGTCTCCCAGTTACGAATCACTTACAGGTCAGTTCTCACTGCTCATGCTGCAACTACATGTATTACTGATTCTAGTAATGTCGCTACTGCAACAGCTCCTAGCACATGCACCACTAAGTGCAAGAACATAGTACTTATCTACCACCATAAAGGAGCAGCAGAACTAACCCATTAATGATAAAATCATACAGATGGATGATGGTGTGATTGATAATGATGATGTCTCCCCATAGTGTGTACAAAGCTGTGTACGCTGTGGCCCACGCCTTGCACAACCTGGAGCACTGTGAGCAGGGACAGGGGCCATTCAACGGGAAAGACTGTGCTGACATAACAAACTTTGAGCCATGGCAGGTAAGCCTGTGTGTGTGAGAGAGAGAGAGATTACAACTGTTTCTGTGTGCATATGTTTAACTGAGATGTGGCTCCCTCTGTCTCTTCCTTAGCTGATGTACTACATGAAGAACGTGCGTTTCAAAGTGCCGCACACGGGCGAAGAGATCTACTTTGATGAAGGGGATGTAGAGGGCTTCTATGACATTTTAAACTGGCAGTTCAATAGTAACGGGGAGATATCCTACATCACTGTGGGACACTACAATGGCTCGGCAGCCCCAGAAGACAGGATGAAATTAATGAATGACTCCATTGTGTGGAACAATGAAGTGTTGGAGGTCAGCAGCATATGGATTAAGACCATCCACACACTCTGTGAGTGATTGTGATTTATAGTTTATACATGTGTCTGTGTATGAAGGCAGCCTATGTGTGTGTGTGTGTGCGTTTGTTGCAGCCTCCTCGGTCAGTGTGCAGTGAGAACTGCCAGCCGGGCACCAGGAAGGGGATCCGGCAGGGAGAGCCAGTCTGCTGCTTTGACTGTATCCCGTGTGCCGATGGAGAGATCAGCAACACAACTAGTCAGTAAACAGCTTTCAAACTGCACCTTGTAGACATGACAGTATCTTCCAGAAAAGTCTGAACTTTTCCTGAAATATAAACCTCCGTGCATAAAGTGAGTCCATTTCAATTAAACAAACTTTATTCATTCACATTCAACACACATGGACAGTTTTCTGTATAGTAGTTTTATTTGACTACTTAAAATTACATAATAGCATGAAGCTTTTTTTTATCTTCAATTCATTTTAACTGTGGCATACTGGTATCTGTCCAAAATGCAGATTTATGATCCTAAAATAATTACAAAGTAGGGTGATAACGACATCTTATAAAGCTTTAACCCGCATTACTGAAAGAACTGCCAATTACCACAGGGAGCACACAACACACACCACAAAAGCAAAAACAGTTATTATTCTACTGTTGTCACACTGAAATGGTGCCAGATCAGGATTATCTTATTTGGGCTATTAAATCCTGTCATGTTTTAGAGGACATTTTCTCTTCAGTGCCAACACACAGTAGACACTGAGACTGTTTCAAGGGTCTCGTGCACGGCATCAGTCTAAACAACTTTAGATAAACACGACTCTGCTGCCCTCTTATCGCCCCCTCACTCTCTGACAGATGCTCGCGAATGTATCCTGTGCAGTGAAGACGACTGGTCCAATGATGCTCATGATACCTGTGTACCAAAAATCATTGAGTTCTTGGCCTTTGGAGAGCCACTGGGGATCACTCTCATCATCATCTCAGCCATCGGAGCTCTTCTCACCATTGCTGTTGCGGTGAGACCCACGCAGGGAAAACATACCTCCTGGTGATGCCAACATATCCCTTGTTGTGGAGAGTAAGGAGCTAAAACATCAAATGGTGTGTTTCACTATTCTTCCTTTCAGGTGGTGTTTGTTGTGCACATTGGCACCCCTCTGGTGAAAGCCAATGATGCTCTGTTGAGTTTCTCGCTGCTCTTCTCACTGCTGGTGACCTTCCTCAGCTCCATCGTCTTCCTTGGAGAGCCTCAGAACTGGAGCTGCATGACCAGCCAAGTAGCCCTGGCTCTGGGCTTTGCTCTCTGCCTTTCCTCTATCATGGGTGGGTATACTTTTACTGTATTGTTGCATGCATTTGTCTTCGTATGTATTCTTTGAATACATAGTAGTGGTGCTTTTTGGTGCACAGGAACCCTGTTACTGTACTATCTGGGCTTTTGTAGTTGCCAGTAGTAAAGAATGGACCTTCACTTGAGCATTTTACATTTTGATGCGTCTTTACTTCAGGTAAGGCTGCAGTGTTGATGATGAGAGCTCAGGCTCTGAAAGCAGCCCGTGTCAGAAACAAAGCAGCTGCTAAAGCTGCAAAGGCTGCAGCTGAAGCAGCAGCTAGCAGTGGCAACCCTGATGTCATTGTAACCAACACAAATAACAACAATGACGCCACTGTTTGTGAAGTTGACATGCTCACGTGTGCACAACAGAGGGCGATAGCTGCTGCTGCAACATTAATACAGGTAAAGACATTGCATTTACAGTTAAATTTACTCGTTTGGCAAACACTGTTATTCAAAAACGACTTACATTTTGAAAAAAAAAAACTTACTCTCACCTAATAATATTTGATCCGCTCATCTTCCTGATCCTGTAATATTGCTGACTTCATCATTCCTCTACCCAGGCTATAGCGTGCACAGTGTGGCTCATCATCATTCCTCCGCACCCATTCAAGAACACCTCTGCACAGAATATTAAGATTATCCTTGAGTGTGATGAAGGCTCTGTGGTTTTCATCTGTTGTATCTTTGGCTATGACATCCTGCTGGCTCTTCTGGCCTTCATCTTTGCCTTCATAGCCCGCAAACTGGAGGACCACTTAAGGTAGGAAACACGCAAGGTTTCTGGAAAAACAGGGAAACATTTCATAAAGAAGGTAATAACATTCATTTCATGGCTAGTTTAGATATACCTCATACATTTTTAATGTATTCCATATGTAAATCCATATTAAAACTGATCTTGAATTTAACTTTAGAAAACATGAATGTAAGAGTAGAATTGTACTGTAACCTCTGAGATATCGGGAATTAATCCTTCTCTTGTTTTGGGGCAATGAACATTTCTTTTGATGCTCGTTTCTTACTTCCAGTGAGGCGAAGTGTGTGACCTTCGGCATGCTGGTCTTCTTCATCGTGTGGATCTCCTTTGTCCCGGCTTACCTCAGCACACGTGGCAAGTTCATGGTTGCCGTCCAGATTTTTGCCATCCTGGCTTCCAGCTTTGGCCTGCTGACCTGCATCTTCCTGCCCAAGTGTTACGTCCTTTTGGTCAAACCTGAACGCAACACAGAGGAGATGATGAGGCCCCGCGCCAAACTGCGGGATGGGACCTCGACTGGGACCTTAGCCTCATTCACTACAGCTGCTACTGACGTCAATAATACGATTGCATCCACTGCTATTGATGATTAGTGGAGCAGTCCTAAGAACTAAATCCATCCACAATACTGAAACCATAAAATAATGTAGATGGCAGATGTGCCTCTGCTATATTGGGCTACTGGTCCAGTTGATTAGGATTCCTAGTCTTGCTATTCACATTTATTTTATAATCACCTTGTTTGGTCTATAAATAATAGACAGGCGATTTCTGTATATTATTTACAAAATATTTTTATTTACACTGATCAAATGTGTGTCAAGTTAAGTGTACCTTCAGATGCATTAGAGCTGAATGCAATAAGCAAATACATGAGGGAAGAAATCTGCTACCTCTTTTTTTGATTACTAAATGTCTCAAAAATGCATTTTCAAAAACATTACTATTTCAGAAAATAAAACTGGTGATCTTTTGACTTTACCCACTTTACTAGATGTATGTAAGTCCTGCTAACAGATATTTAAACAAGGTCAGACGCTGCTGTTGTTTCAGTTGTGGTAGTGGAATTAAAATTAAGGCAACATTTACCTCAGATTTTGTCCTGTTGTATATCTAGTGGCAAATCAATTTCAAACACATCTGGCAATTTTTTAAATTCAAGCCCATTAGCTGATGTTGTTCCAATCAAAATGTTTACACTAACATCTCAATGTGATACAAATTAATGCAACTCCGTTAGCATAATACATTTCCTCAAAATATAATAAATGTTATTTTCAGTCACTATAATACGTGTTTTTCTTGTAAAAGCAATCAATTCGTCTTAAGCTTGTTTTGGGGCAGTACTTTTACTGACTGTCAAATACTGGTAATTGTACTGCATAACTGTCAACTCTGAAATTGAGTTATTGTCTTCTCAGAGTTAGCCAGGATCGCAGAGAATGATCTTGCTTCGTTATATTGTCTCACCACTTTTCCATGCCTCCTTATTACCTTTGAGGGACACCAGATAAATGAAAATGAAAGAATCAACAATACCCAAGTGTTATTCTCTAGTACAAAGAGTGAGCAGTGCTAAGCTATGGAACATCCAAAGTGACAGAACTGAATGAAAGAATAAATAAATAAATGGGGAAATAAATGAAAGAAAAAAGGAATGAATGAAAGAATAAATAAATAAATGGGGAAATATATCAAAGAAAGAATGAATTAATAAAATAATAAATACATACATTTGCTTTTGCCTTTCCCCAAGGAGCCCTATTGTCTTTGCTTTTTCCTTCCTCTTCCTTAACTGTCAATCAACGTGTTGTGGCCCGCCCCCTAAGTCAGGTTGAGCAGCCGATGACTGATACTATCTTCAGTGTGGATGTGCTGTCCCTGGAAGAGTGTTATGATTGGTAGAAAGTTTAGAAGGAGTTATGCTGCGTTTAAGACCGGTCGGAACTGGGATATTTCCCAGTTGAAACTTCCGGCTTCCCACATCAAAGCGTTCCAGGTGCATGGTGGTGCATGACACCGAAAGTGAACGAAAACCATGGCTAACTGTGACGTGTACACACAGTTGCACCCTCAGCAGTGTTTTAGGTGTTAATTAAAAGGATGGCAGTTTAACGGCAACAACTTAATAAAACATAAATAGACTATAGTTACTAGTTAAAGGTTCAGTGTGTAATATATCTGAGGATCTATTGACAGAAATGCAATATATTATCCATAACTATGTTTTCAGTGGTGTATAAAAGACCTTGCATAATGACCCCTTATGTTTTTATTACCTTAGAATGAGCTATTTATATCTACATACACAAGGCACCCCCTGCTGTGGAGGTCGGCATATTGTGTCATCATGTTTCTACCGTAGCAAACAGCGAACAAACAGCACTGCAGAGCGCGTTTCGTTACTACCATGAAAGAGAAGCAACAGAAGAAGTAGGAGCAAGAGCAAGAGCAAGAGCAAGAAGAAGTTGTACGTTTCTAACTACTAGGTAGTAGTAGAAGCTCTCCTTTATTAGTAGTGGAATTTTGGACAAATGGAGGACCACAGCTATTATTTAGCACAAGAGTCGACGGAGTGTGTATCTGCTTCGATGAAGCGAAAGCATGATGAAGCCAGACTTATACGGGAGCGACGCAGGCAGAAATCACGGGTAAACATCGGTGTGGCTTTTCCCAGATAGAATGGTCTAATGAGGGAAAAATGTTTTCAAAGCGACACCGAAGTTGCCTGTTTTCTGATGGATAGGTGAAGTATTCCAACTTTAGCATTGCAAATGAAAACTGTTGTTTGATAATGTTAGCATTAGCCAGAAGCTAGCCATAGACACCGTGAGAAGTGACTTTCCCTTGTTAGTGGTGTAAAATATGTAGTTGGATAGTTTCATGTGGTTCTTCTTCCTCGCTGTGTTATGGCTTCGCTATGTGGGGATAAATGTGCTGGTTACGTTCGTGAGACAATCAGCTAATTAGTATTACTGACCTCAAAACAGTAAGTTAGCCTACAGCTAACAGCTCATATTAGCCAGCTAAACTTTTACTACCCTGTTAGAAGAAATATGTAACGTTAGTTGGATTGTTATTTTGAAGGTTTTTCTCCAGCTTCGGCTTCGTTTAGTGAACAGAAATGTGTCTTTTGTGTTTTTGAGACAATCACCTGATGATTACAATTAGCTAAAAAACCGTAACATTGCATGGAGCATGGTGGCTCAGATTAGCAAGCTAAATGTTTACTGCCCTGGTGGAAAACATTTATTTTTACTGCTAACAGCATTACGATAACAACACTGTGTGCTTATCAAGTGACTAATTATGCTTATTGTCAGAATTTACATTAGAAACAACGTATTTGTTTGTATTGCTTCTACGGTGCATGCAAAGGTTACCACAAGCTCAAATTATGGCTGTCAGTATTTATTTGTGTTATATTATATTGTAGAGCACCCTTGATCCTCACCTGACTATGGCTTTGTAAACTTACCCATGATGTGGTTTATAATGGACTGTGGTACAGAAACAGTGACATTTTTACACACTCTTGGCTTACGTTTTCCATGTTGTCTGTCGGTGATCATACTTGCACTAGATGTGATAGTTTTTGGGATGTTCAATTTATTAGGCAAGATGAGCAAACCCTACCAAGATATAACACATTGTGGATTACAGTACAGTAATGTATTACAGTCATGTAGCACTTCATTTATTGAGGCTGCTGCTGTTTCTCCAGCTACGAGACAGGTCCTGCAACATCGACTCCCTTGGAGAGAAAACCTTTGCAAGTCCCAGCTCCAGCATTGTCTAGCATTGGTGCTTCTAGTGGAACAGACCGGTAAGTCATGCATACAATATATTAATTTTATCCTAATACATAATTAGAAACATGAACTTTATGATTAGTGTGTAATAGTGTGTTATTTTATTTTTGGTCTATATCTACTGTTGAATGAGCATATGTGGGATTTACACAACTTGCTCCGGTTATTCTTTACAGAGATGAGCATCTTGATGTCATTCCAGAAGCCACAGAAATTCAGGGCCTTGAACAAAGGTAATATGTACACATCATAACTTTTAGCCCTATATTGCTTTTCTCCAAATGTTCATAATATATATTTGTAATATGTTTTTTGCAGCTTACATGACATGAGCATTGTTGAGGAGGACTTGGAGGAAAATGTTTTCAATCACCCAATGAACAGTGTGTAAGTAGTACTTCCTAAATACATGTATTATTTTTCATTGATATTGTTCGAGAACTTGTTTTTATCTGAAAGTTGTCATTATGTAAAGAATTGATTGGGCATATAAAGCTTCATCTTACTCCCTTGAAAGAGATGATGGACAGAATGGTTTCAGCTCTGATGAAGAGGATCTTCCACCAATTTCTATACGGTGTGTTATTTGTCAGTCTCAATTTGCAATTGTTTTGTGGTGTTTGTTTACTACAGATTTTTGTGCCTCATTAGAATGGGTGGAGCACCGAAGAAAGCACACTCTATCGATGGACGACCCTGTTTTCCCAGAACCAGAATGTCCTTTGTGAAGATGACATCATAGGTGTCAGAGCCTCCATAGTGTACAAGAACTGCTTAAGACAACTGGCTACATTTCTGATCCTGCCTGTGGATAAATGCACTGGCCTTCTGAGGACTGGTGCGCCGTGCTACTCTGTTGCACCCTTTGAGATCAACGTCACCACCAAGAGCACAGCAGCTACTATTGAATGGGTAAGTCCAGACAATCACAGAATATCACAACTTTAAATTAGTATAAAATGAAATGTTATACCAAAAGCCAGTGTTGTACATGACAAAAGCAAATGTTTCGTCTCTCTGACTTTTAGATCTGTTCTAATGACACAGCTTGTGGAGGTGGAATTCCTAGCCTGTGATGAAGTTTGCGATGCAAGCTGGAGATTTCTTGTCCACCAACATTTTGTTGTCTGGCAACAACTACGCAAAGGTTGCCCTCTTGTTCAAATTCATGAAAATGGGGATGGTGAACAGGAACACCTTCTTCTCCATTCAGGACACTTATTGCGTCAATACAATAAAGGACTTCTGGGAAGAGAGAAGGACAGAGGTTCTTTGTTGCCTTCAAGGGAAAGATGTTGTTGTCCTTGGTGTGTAGTTGATACTGTATTATGTAACCTAGCTATTGAATACACTAAGCAATGACAGTATGGAAACAACTAATAACTGTTTTTCTGTTGAATTATATTTAAAAAAATTTCAACAGATGGCAGAAATGACTCTCCTGGTCACTGTGCACAATACTGCAGCTACACCACCATGGAGAATGACACCAAGGAGATCATTCATGTTGCCACCATAGACAAGTGGCAAACATCATGGAAGTCTGTCGTCTTGGAGAAGGAGTTTCATCCAGACTGGACAAGCTTACATCAGAAATAAAGCTAGTGGAGATCTGCACAGGTGCTCATGCACAGATTGGTGCCCTTATGAGTAAGTATTCATGTGATATATTGTATGGATGCATGTGTATAACAGCAATATAAATATTATAGTAACATGACATTATTTACCGCTTCATAGACCCAGACAAAGGCAAATACAAGGCCCTTGGAATTCATCACTGTCTGGACATATGGCATGGTGCGAAGAACCTTGCCAAACAAATAGCAGCAGTAAGTGTAATAACTGGCTAATGTTGTGAAACAATTATTAACCATAAAGTTACTATTCTGTACATCAGGGTTATTGAACTATGTGCAGTTGATGGATGACAGTATGGAAGTTTTCATTGTACTCAAAGACAACATTTTGTTTACTTTCCTCTGCCAGAAGATGTGTTACTCATTCTAGACATTTGGTGTAGTCATTTAGTGTTTTCTTTTTTGGGGGGGGGGGGGTGTTGAACATTTACACTTTCACCTCTACACACAGACTATAGTTGAATGCCTGTATTTTACAGTAATATTTATTTTTCTTTTTTCAAGGCAGCAAAGATAAAAGGAGAGTGCATCCTCTTCAACTGGCTGAAGGACATAGTCAACCATTTTCGGTGGTGTTGCAAGACTGCCGACACACGTGGGCAGTTTCTTGTAAGCACACAATTTTATTATATCTTTGAGTAATTTCATTCATTGCTATATTAAGGACATATTTATAGTGCATTTTTATGTTTTGCAGGCATTATGGGTTGGCATCCTTCACCATGTCTGCAACATTCACACCTGGACTATGGGAAGTTGCAAACACGGGCACCTTGAATCGGATCAAATGCGGGGAAAGATGTGGATCCAGAGAGACTCCCAGTGCCACAAAGCTTTAGTGGATATAGTTCTCAATAAGAGGTGGCAGAAAGATGTTCACAACTATCTGCGATTCAGGTAGTGTGGCTATACTTTTTCACACTGATGTACACTCACCTAAAGGATTATTAGGAACACCTGTTCAATTTCTCATTAATGCAATTATCTAATCAACCAATCACATGGCAGTTGCTTCAATGCATTTAGGGGTGTGGTCCTGGTCAAGACAATCTCCTGAACTCCAAACTGAATGTCAGAATGGGAAAGAAAGGTGATTTAAGCAATTCTGAGCGTGGCATGGTTGTTGGTGCCAGACGGGCCGGTCTGAGTATTTCACAATCTGCTCAGTTACTGGGATTTTCACGCACAACCATTTCTAGGGTTTACAAAGAATGGTGTGAAAAGGGAAAAACATCCAGTATGCGGCAGTCCTGTGGGCGAAAATGCCTTGTTGATGATAGAGGTCAGAGGAGAATGGGCCGACTGATTCAAGCTGATAGAAGAGCAACTTTGACTGAAATAACCACTCGTTACAACCGAGGTATGCAGCAAAGCATTTGTGAAGCCACAACACGCACAACCTTGAGGCAGATGGGCTACAACAGCAGAAGACCTCACCGGGTACCACTCATCTCCACTGTCCAAAATTGGACAGTTGAAGACAGGAAAAAATGTTGCCTGGTCTGATGAGTCTCGATTTCTGTTGAGACATTCAGATGGTAGAGTCAGAACATGGATCCATCATGCCTTGTTACCACTGTGCAGGCTGGTGGTGGTGGTGTAATGGTGTGGGGGATGTTTTCTTGGCACACTTTAGGCCCCTTAGTGCCAATTGGGCATCGTTTAAATGCCACGGCCTACCTGAGCATTGTTTCTGACCATGTCCATCCCTTTATGGCCACCATGTACCCATCCTCTGATGGCTACTTCCAGCAGGATAATGCACCATGTCACAAAGCTCGAATCATTTCAAATTGGTTTCTTGAACATGACAATGAGTTCACTGTACTAAAATGGCCCCCACAGTCACCAGATCTCAACCCAATAGAGCATCTTTGGGATGTGGTGGAACGGGAGCTTCGTGCCCTGGATGTGCATCCCACAAATCTCCATCAACTGCAAGATGCTATCCTATCAATATGGGCCAACGTTTCTAAAGAATGCTTTCAGCACCTTGTTGAATCAATGCCACGTAGAATTAAGGCAGTTCTGAAGGCGAAAGGGGGTCAAACACAGTATTAGTATGGTGTTCCTAACAATCCTTTAGGTGAGTGTATATTAGTAATATTTATGCTTACTGCTCATGTACACAGAAGTATGTATTTGTTTGTTCTATCAGATCGACTGCAGACCTAGAGTCATTACAGAATCATATGCTGATGTATGCCAGCAAGCGCTATGCTTTCAGCCCCCCAGTTTATGAGGCAAGAGTTCTGCTTGCTGCTTTGGACTACAATTTCCACCGGAACCGACCAACAATGAAAACATTGGACGGCAAAGAGACGTACGTTTTACACTTGTATAATATTCCCATTCATAGTACAATATTCAGCCCATGTTTTATACGCAATTGATTGTCTTTACACTCAAGGTTTTCTCCTGTTCTACTTACAAACTGATGGTTGTAATTTGTGTAATTTCAGTTTCAGAAGATTCTATAAGAACGGTACGCTTTGAAATCTGAAATACATACCGAGTTGCAAAGAAGGATTGTGAAGAACAGACTCACAAGTGGAGGGTGGATGCCTAGATTGAGGAGCCTTCTCCCAGATGACCCCAGACAGCTTGGTTTGGTGCCCACCGTACCTGCACCAGCCACATCAGATTTGTTGCCTATGTTGTACCATATTACATGTCACTATATTGTAATGTAAATATCATTCAGTCTGTAACTGTTTGATGGCACTGTCTTCAACAGGACTGTTATTCCAACCAGCATCTGATGTGGAAGGATCCCCATAGGAGATCACCTTGCATGTGTCCTGGTACTTGTCAGGATCACAAGGGAAAGAACTTCAGTTCACTGACAAAGTCATAGCTTTTACTCTTCAAAAAGAGAAATTTATTAACATTAAATTCTGTTCCTACCCTCCTACAGTGGTTATTTCATGTTTTTCCAGTTTGTACACGTTTCATCTTATTCTGCTAAGTCCACTGTGGCCAGCGCATATTATTTTTAGTAGGTAGCCTAAATTACAGTTTACAATTTGAACAGTAATGATAAGTAAGGCTACAGCTGTCCCCTATTATGTAAATATAAATAAAATTGGTATTGGAAATGTTATGGCAAAGTTTGAAATTCTAAACACATGTTCAAATGTATATAATAAAAATAAAAACACCATGTGCTTCTATTTCTTACCTTTTTATTTTTTCGATGCCATAGAACTGCAGTTGAACAACTATAACACAATATAACTATACAACATACATCAAATTTAAATAAAGAGGAGAGAAATATGAATAAATATATATAGAAATGTAATAATAAATCAAATGTTAACTATGTACATTTGTTTGATTCCTTGATGAGGCTGAGGCAGGTTTGTGAGTATTTGTGTGAAACTGTATGACCATGCCAGAGAGCCTGGAAGGAAATTCACAGTCCAGGAATAAAACCCGTGTAGTGTCCTTGAGGATCAGGGAACTTGTCTCTAATCCTCCAAACACAACTAGGGACGACAAGTTGGTTTCCCTGGCCTAAAGGTCCATGTTGCCAATAGATGAAGTGTCTATAGGCACCATTGTGGTCCTCCCTGTTGTCATCCCCAGGCTCCCTGATGTTGCCTAATGCCATAATGTCCTCCCGGTACTGCCTGTGAATGCGAATAAAGCCTTCTTCAAGGCAGTACTGGGAGAAGTGTGGCAGTAGGCTCACACTGTTCGCTTCCCTACAGTTACCACAAGTACACCAAGGTACTCCTGGCACTCCGGTGCACCATGTCTGCGCTGATGCATCATCAAGGCATCAAAGACCAGGACTGGCTGCCTCTCCAGCAGAAGGGTGGAGAGCTCTGTGTTCTTCAAGGATCATCTCTTGAAGAAGTCTGAAGAAAGAGGACACAGGGAAAAATACTCAATATGCAATATTCTCTGCTTCAATACTCTGGTTACTCTGTCTCGATGTTGTTTTTAAGATTGTATCCATTCCAAATGAAATATACTGGTACTCATTATTACTATTAATATTTAATGCACTACTACTATTTATCATTACACTTCTGTTGATGCTGTAAATTACTTTACATGTCCACATTACCTTTATTTAGATTTAGATTTTATAATTTTTATATTTAATTGACATGCAAGCTTAGCAGTTGTGACCAAGAATTTCCCCTCAGGTATCAATAAAGAATTTGTGATTCTTTTAAAATAAGGCTTTATAAGTTGCATGACATTATGTTGGCAACATGATACTGCATATTAGGATTTGCAGGCTGGCCAGTGTTTGCTCAACTTGTATAATATGGCTTCATATAATCATTGTTGCCCAGTAAATGACATGTTACTACTATCTACCATTACAGTACCAGGGTACATGTGCACTGAGCTGCTATGTACATAACGTTATCACTGTGTGCTGGGGTTTGTCATAAAGTGCAAACAGGTCAGAATATAATAACGTTACAACAACCTTATAAATACAAACCTCGGTAACAGCCCTCGGGTTCCTTTGGAGGGCTTCCACTCTTTCTTCGTCCTCTATTGAGCCATCACTCCAGGTAGGTCCTCTGCCTCTCCTTGCCCTGACTGCACCTCCAACACTTCTGCCTCTCCGCCCTGTTCCTCTCCCTCTCCCTCTCCCTCTTACAGTTATCTCCGGTAAATGGACTTCTGCATTTAGATCACATTGACATGAGCTGGTTCTGTCTAAAATTAGCTTCTTCTTCTTCTTCTTCCTTGTGCTTTTATTGTCAGTTGGCAAACAACAAATTGTTGTTCAGTTGTTGTTCGTTACCGCCACCAACTGGTATGGAGTGTGTATCAGACCTTTATACACCTCTGATCATGCAGAGAAATACTTCTGTGAGTGATTAGTTGGACTTAGTGGGCGGGCCACAACAAGTTGATTGACAATTAAGGGGGAAGGAAAAAGCAATGACAATAGGTCTCCTTGGGGAAAGGCAAAACCAAATGTATGTATTTATTCTTTTATTCATTCATTCTTTCTTTGATATATTTCTGCATTTATTTATTTATTTATTCTTTTATTCATTCATTCTTTCTTTGATATTTTTCCGCATTTATTTATTTATTCTTTTATTCATTCATTCTTTCTTGCATTTATTTCCACATTTATTTATTCATTCTTTCATTCAGTTCTGTCACTTTGGATGGATGTTCCATAGTTTTCAGCTAAAAAGACAAATGATACCTTCTCAGCACCACATGACACACATGAGTTAGCAATATTTAATGTGGCTCTAAAATACAAACGGATGCCAACAGGAACAACAGAATAGTTAGTGTAAATGTAATGTGACGCCACATGTTACATTGCTGTGACAAGCAGTGCTAGTTAGCATATTAATACTGTAGGTTAGCCTTGCAGACCTAGTTTAGAGGCAAGTAGGAGAGGTTGCTGCTCCATTTTTGTTCTAGTAGTCTGGCTTCATTCTCCAAACATGATCAGTAATAGGTCAGTAATACAGGAGGATCTCAGAGTAAAGGTGCTGCTCCTCCACATAGAAACTTGCTGAGGTGTTTCTGGTTGGTGTTGAAGGTTCAGTGGACTGGGAAGATGAGCAAGGACAAGGTGGCAAGAGAGATCCAGCAGAGGGAGCTGGAGGAAGCAACTTTATGTTTGTGTTGCTTTGGCTGTGCTGGAGTTATTTTAAGAACTTGATGGCTTTATCCAGTTTGTTATGATATATGTAACAAACGTTATCGCATCTCTCTTCATTATACTTCCACACAAAAAAAGGCTGTTTTTAAAGGTCAAGCATAGCCTAAAGATTTTTATTATATTCCAGTCAAATCTGATGTTCATTTATAAATTTTGCTCATGGATAGTAGTGCCTGTGCATCACTTTGTATGTTGTGCAGGCCTACAGCCTATGTCAGCTGGTTAATTTGCCTAATCTTCACAGGTCTTTAGACCATGGTGGAAACGCACACAACAATGGGCTCAAGGAACCTTTTAGTCCACCACAACCCATCGTGAGTTTACAGATGGATTGTGATAAACTTTACAGAAATATTATTATAATTTAATAGAAGGAAATATTCACATGATCTTGTTATTTATATTTTTTGAATTGCATTTTAAATGTGGGTGAGACGTTTAATATTAAGATTATCTTCCCACACTTTTGCAACAGACAGTAGAAAGCGATGAGGAATGTATGAAAATGATGCTCCCTGAAACTTTGAAGATTTGAAATAAGACTACTTTTAAGTTGAAGAGAAATTCATTATGCTGGGATGTGTGTGATGGATGGTGTTGACAAGATGAAAACAAGCATATAAAACGAGAAGAAGTGCGGAACAAGGCAGAGACTGGTGATATTAATGTGCTGACTGTCTCATAAATCATGGCAAGCTTTGTTAACCTCATTTTGCAAAGGCAATGAAGCAATAATGAAACAATATTTTGTTGTTTTATGCATCATTGTTCTGTCCTCGCAAAGTGTTGTCCACACGAACCTATACTCAGCTATTCAGACAGCTAAACACTCTCCTAATCAAACTCCAAGGAACAGGCTGATGTGTTGGTTTTGGCAGTTTGGGGTCCACAACAATCATGTATAATATTTTCATCATTTCCCTGTGTTTTTTTGACATGTGGACAAATGTTGCATTTGTGGGCAGTTGACCCTATTATCTATTATCCATGTCTGTGTGTGTTTGTGTGCTACTAGTCTGTCTGTGTATTGTAGCTACGGTCACTGTGTGTGTGTGTGTGTGTGTGTGCTCTCACTCATGAGCACGTGGCTTTCCAGGAAGCTATGAACTGTGTCCAACCAAAGCTGTCACTGTGGACGGTAATACATTCTCCTTGTGACATAGAGGTGAAGGAATGTGATTATAATTTATCGTCAGCTGACGAGGGTGGACAGTAACAGTAGTGCTAAATCAAGACTAAATGTTCCCACATTCATCACTGCATGTGTGTTCATTTTAATTTGCATTGTGTATGAGTGTGTTTCCACACATGCACTAATGTTAACCTGCATCTGTGTTTTGATATCTTTATTTTTCTTTGTTTCATATTGCAGGTCCTTGTGCAACATAGTGAAATGTGCTCTGCGTTGCTTCTAGACCACTCTTGTAACTTATCCACATAACATGCCTCAAGGACTTTACATCTTCCATTTCTCTTTGGCCTCCATGTGATTGACAAAGAGCTAAGTGAGTGTGACACGATTCAAATAAGCCAAAGAGCTAATGTCATTTGTTTCTTTTTCCAAATGCCCAGCCAGCTAACATCCTTAGAGTGAAATGTGTTTATTTACTGACCGCTACTGAACGGAAGGAGAAGAATTGATCAACTTTCAATTGCTGGAGACAGAAACTCTCAAGAGATGCAGAGAGGATCCTCGCTAATTATCAAGGCGGGATGGTCTTGGTCTTCTTATTAATCACTGTAGTGTGCGTATGTGTGTGTGGGTGTGTGGGATAGTCAAAATGATTTATAGACAAGGTGAAACTCCTTTCAGGTGTCCCTGCATAGTTTGTGTGCATGTGTTCACAAAAGTATTAAAGCTTAATTTCCAGACATCATTGTACAACATACACTGATAGGCCATAACATTATGACCACCAACCTAATATTGTGTGAGTCTCCCTATTGCTGCAAAAACAGCCGATAACTGTCGAGGCATGGACTCCACTAGACCTCTGAAGGTGTGCTGTGGTATCTGGCACCAAGACGTTAGCAGCAGATCCTGGAAGTTGCGAGATAGGGGCCTCTATGGATAGGACTTGTCCAGCACGAACCACAGATGCTCAATTGACTTGAGATCTGGGGAATTCGGAGGCCAAGTGTTCCTCAAACCATTTCTTAAACATTGTTGCTTTGTGGCAGGGCGCATTATCCTGATGAAAGAGACCACTGCCATCAGGGAATCCCGTTTCTCTGAAAGGGTGTACATGGTCTGCAACAATGCTTAGATAGGCGGCACTCGTCAAGTAACATCTACATGAATGGCAGGACCCAAGGTTTCCCAGCACAATGTTGCCCAATGCCTCTGGTGCTTTGCCTTCTTCCCATAGTGCATACTGGTGCCATGTATTCCACAGGTAGGTGACGCACACACACCTGGCCATCCTTTTGATGTAAAAGAAAACATTCATCAGACCAGGCCACCTTCTTCCATTGCTCCATGGTCCAGTTCTGACAACAACAAACTGTGATGCAATGTGTGTTCTGACACCTTTCTATCAGAACCAGCATTAACTTTTTCAACAATTTGATCTATAGTAGTTTGACTGTTGGAACCATATTTCCTTCCTTGGACCACTTTTGATAGGTACTGACCACTGTGGACCGGGAACACCCCACAAGAGCTGCAGTTTTGGACATGCTCTGACCCAGTCATCTAGCCATCAGAATTCAGCCTTTGTCTAAGTTGGTCAAATCCTCATGCTTGCCCTTTTTTCCTGCTTCTAACACATCTGCCTAATATATCACACCCACTGACAGGTGCCATGGTAATGAGACAATCAATGTCATTCATTTCACTTGTCAGTGGTCATAATGTTTTGGCTGATCGGGTGTATACCAGCAGAGGGAGATGCATGTTTCACATTAGGGCCTCATACTAACAGATCAGCATAAAATGAAAGGACAAACCAACATAGTGTCTTTGGGAGGTGTTTGGCAATCACAAGCCTGCAGAACAAACTTCATGATCCTAACCTATTAAAAGACAACAAAAACCAAAGTAATAATCATGAGTGGTTGTAAAATGTTCATAACTAGATTCAGGAAAAAAGACTACGCCTTGAACTCATCTCATTTCCGCATCTTAAGTAGGCTACTTAAGTACATCTTTTCAGTTCACGTCCCTTTGGCATTCCTCCCTCCGCAACCCCCTCTTTCCCTTCTCTCTCTTTTGTCTGTATACAGGAACCTGTCGGATCTACGAAGAGACTGCTCCCCCACTAAGAGTCTTGATTCCCACAGGTTCCCACCTGTGTTCCTGCCACCACACAGGCCTTCTTCATTCTCCTCCATCTAACATTCCGCAAAGCAGATTTCTCCCCCATCCCTCTATCCCTGTATTCATAACTCCGGACCGTAAATCATCTCAGCTCACCTCCATCCATAACATGCAATAAACTATTTTAAATATTTATCTTTGCTGCCGAGATCTTTGTTTGTGAATAATAGGCTGCTGAATTATTAACCTTACAAATGGTGCTTGTATAGGCTAGATTTGATCTGAAAGTTACATAACAGCTTGAAACAGCAACATCCAGGCAGTATCAGTGCAGAATGTGTGAAAGGTGATGTGTTCACTTACTGATGTACGTACTGAGGGGCCTTTGAACTGTGATGTGACCACATAGCGTAACGAAAATAAGTGAAGGATCTACATTGTCAGTGACAATGAATCTTTGAACTGAACCGAACGATATAATTTGAATCAGCAGAATGAATCGGACTTTACAGCTCCACTAAGCAGCGTCACTGGCCCATGTAAGAGATATTGCCAACTGTTTTAATGATGCAGTTGGAGACGTTGTCTAACATGTCACACCAAACTCTCCCACAGAAGTTCAACTGGGTTGAGGTCTGTTGACTGTGAAGGTCATAGCACATGATTCACATTTTCATACTTACCAAACAACTCACTTACCTTTGCACCTCATGCAGGAGCAGCTGCATTTGTTATGTTTCTCCACTCATTTATTTACGTTTCCTTTAATTTGTC